CCTGATAGGTATTTGCAGCTCTGTCGCTTTTTCCACAAGCGAACGCAAGGCGGCGAGATGAACTACGGCTTTCACATGGCTCTCACATGGCGGCTTGGGTCTACTCTTGCCTGGGAGGGGGCAGGTGAGGCTCTCTCTCTCATCTTCTTCTTCTCTCTCGTCTCTCTCTCTATCCCCTCTCCTCTCTCTCTCTCTCTCCCCACACCACACACATATATACATAGTACAGCTATTATGATGAAGCTTCTTGGCAACAGCAGCCAACTAGCTGGAAAAAATATGTTTTGCTGAAAACATGTTTGAAAACACTTATAAAATTAACTAGCATTCATCCATGTAATTACTTTCTACATCATGGAAATTATATTTCAGCAAAAAAACCACTTTTTCATTCTGCCACCCACTCTGATCCCTTCCCAGGTTCTTGTCCAGTACTATTGTTTTTATTATATATAATAACATAATATATTTTCTCAACTATACCTAGCTGCTGTAGTAACATTGACTGCTGTTGGGCACCCTGTATGTTATCTATGTAGACCAGAATGCTGAAATAGAACCCAAATAAGACACTTTAAAGGAGAAGGCTGGTTATTCTATGTTTTCCTTCTACTTGTCAACAAGTACCATAAAAAGACCAAAACCAACATGGCGTTAGTCTGTCTTACAATGTTTTCTAACTTCCCTACTCTGTCTGTGGCACTCAGCTGCGGGCCCATTGGTTAAAAATGGATCATAAATATATACTTAGAGCTGGGCACTGTTAGTTTTAGTAAATTATACAAAATAGTACATATATTGGGGAATTTCAGCCGATGGTTAGACATCTGGTATTACACATGGGAATAAGATGTATCAGACTTTGGCTCCACAGGCATTTACATGGGATTTCTTAACAATAGGGAAAACACCAAAAAGGACACTGTGAACATATTCAGTTCGGTCTTGTGGACACATAAAATACTTGCAAACACATATACAGGCATATACAAGAAAAGGTATAATGTATCGTCATCATTTTAAAAACATTACCATTCCTTCTGAGGAAACCTAGAGCAAAGCACTGAGCATGCAACTGTCCCTGAAAAATACACTTTTTTCTCATTTTCTACATGTAGCCTCTCACATAGACACCTGAATCTCTGTATGCCAACAGTACTCAAATCAAAACACACTCACCAGATTTGGGACTGGTGTTGTTTGTGAATGACCAGGTGCACACACACTGTGTGGGTTAGGCACACAAATACACACAAGTCTGTTTTGAGTGCTGTCTTGTGCATAATGAAGGACATTTATACACACACACACCCACTCAAGCCAGATTCCTCCACCACTGTGTATTTTCAAGAGAAACAACAGCTCCCACTCTCTCATTACATATTGCGAATGTTTCTCCACCTACAGCCGTAATCAGACGAACCTTTTGATCATGTTTTATTTTAGACCTGCCAGCTGAACGCTCACGCAGCTGGAGGGACTCGGTTTGAATGTCATGCACCGTAGTGTGTGTCTGTGTGTGTTACTATGGGTCTGCAGAGGTTAAGGTTCATGCTGGGAAGCTGACTCATGCCATTGTAGTATTGTTGCGTTTCCTCCATTCTCTTCCCTCTGCTCGTCTGTCATTCAGTCCCAACCTGTTTGCATTGAACATTTTTATTCATATTTGCTTTCAACGTGTTTCATCGTTATCGCTACGTCGCTGTTATTCATTTGTTCTCATTCATTTCTCACCTTTGCTTTTCCTCATAACCGCTAATCTATGTCGTGTGGCTTTCTCACCTTTCCTCCCTTCCTCCCTCCCTCTCTTTCTGTTTGCTGAGTTAGTTTCTCTTCCCATTTATTAATTTTTTTTGGAAGAAAACTGAAGTGAAAGTTAGGTTTTCCACCATAGTCACACATTGCGTTATGACTATTGATAGCTATAGCATACAGCCTTTTTGTATCGAAGGCTGACAGGGGGCTTTGCGTGTTCTTCCCACGTTCACATGGGTTTCTTGTGAGTGCTCTGGTTTCCTCCCAAAGCAAACACTAGCATCTAAGGTATTATAAATACTTCTGCTGTTGCCCTTGACCAAAACACAGGCCTCAGAACTGGAGTTGGTCCCTTGTAGCTGCCCACTGCTCCTAAAATAGTTAGTGTGGGTCAAATGTGCAGGACAAACTTCCCCACAAGGACTAATAAAGTATAACTTGCATATCTTTTATGGGTAGTAGAAAACAATATTAAAACAGCTAAAAGTTTTATTTTCTGCTGCACATACTGGACGGTCATTCCTCAGAGATTGTAAATGTTGAGCCCAGCATAAAAGGAACTGGTGACTCAGAAGAACTGCTTTTAACGGCTACCATCGTCCTGTTGATGTAGCAGAAGTGGACCAAACTGTCAAAGCAGGAAGTCTCTGTTTCTAATGTTGCTGTTAGTCAGTTTGAAAGTTGTGAAGTGGCAGGTGTCAGTTAATGGTCAGAGAAAAGCTGTGATGTGTTGGTTGCTTGGAAATGTGAGACTCTTGATGCCTCACAGTTCGACAAAGAAGTTTTTAACCATATTTGGTGAAGAGTAAAAATGTGTTAATTATTATTGAAACATAGGTAAAAGGCAGGAAAAACCCATACATTTTTGAATAATACTAATCATCATGTTTTAGGGCTTCAGCTAAATATTATTTTCATTATCAATCAACCAGCCGATAATTTTCTCAGTTAATTATTTGGTCTTCGTGTGTGTGTGTGTGTGTGTGTGTGTGTGTGTGTGTGTGTTATCTACAAAGGGAACAGATCCTCTTTCACACAGTCCACCATGTTTAACCGTCATGTTTCTACAGAAGCCCAGAACAGCCATACCAAACACTCGCTCTAGATAGGGACTTTCACTTAATTTCTCCTTAGGAAACCTGAGCCGCATTCATGGTTGAAATCTGCACTTTCACTGAATCCTACACACTGATCCTTTAAACAATTTTAGTACAAATGCAGAGTGCCATTCTCAAAATCGATACTGGATTTCAATTATTCATTAGTCACTGATATTCATTTGTGGATTTGGACCAAATTTGCTCCAAAACATGCCTGTTTATCTTCTCCTCTTTAGGTTGTCTAAATTGTGAACTTGTGGGGAAAGAATGTAATGTTCAGTGTGGTGTTGGAGCCTCTTAAACATCCCCCCAGCAGCCTTTTAATTGAAGAGCAAAATCCTTTACCTCAGTTGACCGTTATTAAGTACTAAGTACAAATAACCTTCCATGTACAAGCAGCATTTATTGTCGGACCCAACTTTATTGTAATGACCCCATTAGTCAAAGTACACACTTAACTGCCAACTATTATGTTTAAGAGGCTCTGTTGTGGCCTGTGATGACGCTGACTAGATTACAGCACACACCTGGTTTCACTAACAGAGAGGGTTTATGAAAAAGTGTTTATTTTGGAGCAGTATGTCTTTCAAAGTTGTGCAATATTGACAGTGCTTTTTGTTTTGTCATGAACACTGTAATTTAGATATTTTTATTCTCCTCCAAAGTATACTTCACATACCCATCAATGGGTTTGTGTGAGCGTTGGTTGGCATTTTTTGATTATGACTGTTGCAACAAGTGGGCAATTTTAGTGCACGTTAGAGTTTAATGACGTGTGTGTGTGTGTGTGTGTGTGTGTGTTTTGAGAGAGAGAGAGAGAAGAATGTATTTTCATTATTTGTGATGTTTTTTTAATGTTGTCATGTTAGGTACACCCTGAGCACCTCCAATTCAGCCATCGCTGCTCTGCTGTGTGCCCTGTACCCACACTTCCCTGCTCACAGTACTGACAACCGGTGAGAACAGCACACACAGTATGATAACGAGACCTTGGTAAAATGTTCTCTTTGTCTATGTTTGCTGCTGAGTGGGGGATTTTTGTCACATGTGATAGTCCAAAGAGTCCTAGAAGGTGGAGATGTGTATGAAGATGAGAACATGTTAACCTCAATTAGTAATGGACAACCTGATGTGCCTGAGGTCGTATAAGTTAGCTGCACCAATGCAACCCCTTGAATTATTTGTTATTACTACTTACCTACTACACAGGTAGAGCTGAGTTCCGTTCACCAGTTTCACTTTGAATCCAGTTCCTGGTCTGCAAACAACATGGATTTGTTGAGCTCAGACAATCAGTGCTTTTTTTATTTTTATTAGCAAAGACCAATGTTGAAAATGTGGAACATGGGTTCTTAAATGCAGGGGTCACAACCCAACCTATATAATGGTAATTAACAACATAATACATAATAACATAATTTGAAGTGAAATAAAAAATTATTCATTCATTCAACTCGAGTGCTTATCTCTTCACTTTATTAGAAGACAATATACTTGATCTGTCTGGCCCTTTCATATTTTACTGTAATCAAAATCTGTGTGTTCATGTTGCTTTGTTGCTGCAGCTACCACCTGCAGGCCCTGCGGCACTTGGCTGTGCTGGCTGCAGAGCCACGCCTGCTGGTCCCTGTGGACGTGGACTCCCTGAAGCCCTGCTACGCCCTCATAGAGGTCACCTACAAGGTAAGTTCATAAAGGTTGGTCAGGCTGACACAGGTAGCCACAAATCTGTGGATGGAGGAGAGTTGCCCTTCCCTTGAGCAAAGCACTTGGGCCAACACTGCTTTAGTGAAGAGGCTGATTTTGTAATTCGTCTTTAAAATGGTGTCACAAAGTGTGTTAGGAGTTTGACAGTTTATTAGTGGTTATTTCTACCCACCTATCGTCATCATGGGTGAACATCGAGGTCTGACAACATCCAAATTCACAAGCTGACATGACAAGCTCATTTTGCCCTATGTTCTCTTTAATATTATAGAATGAAACATGCAACAAGTACAATTTGTACAGTTTTTGTGACGCATCGCATTCACTTCCTCCCTCTCTCTCTCTCTTGTTCTCTTTGTCACACATACTTAAATTGTCTTAAATTGCACTTCCTCCTGACGTGTTTTGCATGCAAACACATATGCACACATATATGCTAACATTGTCTGTAATGTAAAACGTGTGCTCGTTTCAGCTCATTGTGGTGTACAAGAAAAATGCCCCTGTCCATCAGACTAGCACCTTCTGCTTTTTGTCAGTGTCATTGCTCTTAGCTAGACGGCTTCCTCGAACTCACAGTTCAGACACTTGATGCGTAATTTGTGCTCACAGCTTTTAGCCAAGGTCAGCTCTCTGCATGCAACCAGATAGAATAAGTTCACACTTTCTGAGAATTAATCGAATAGAGAACTAATTTCCAACTTTTTACCAAGAAAAACCAACCCTTTGAAGACACATGAAACAATGCTCTCCCCTCATTCTCCTTCTTAGTGTAACAAACTGGAGATATAGTGAATCACTTTGTCACAGAGAGAGAACTTTAAAAAAAAAAAATGGAATATGGATGTCCCTTGCAACGTTATATGCATGACAGTGTTTACAAGTACACGACTTCCGCATGTTACTGTGCTAAAGGTTTTGGATTGGTTCTGCAATCAAATTGTTTTTATTTATTTTTTTAACTCTAATTGTTTCCACCCAGTTTTAGCAACTAAAGCTAGGAGAAGGTCCTCAGTATATTGAGCGTTTAAAGATTGGATTGTGAGTTTAAATAGTTAGATGTTTACATTAGACCATATTAATTGAAATATATTTCACTTGCACTTTGAAGCTGTTTGGAATAACACTGTATTTGATGTACATTGGTAAAAGGTCCCTTGGGTACATTTAATGTATTTAAGCTAAGCCAAAAAGAAGAAATGTTCCCAAGGGAGATTTTCTAGTTTTTGTCAATAGCTTCTTTCTTTTCAAACCAAATTTATATTTATCTGGGCCTCCTCCCATTATATACTCAGCCTTCAGTTAAATTAACCTTGTAGGACAGTAAACAATTGACCTTTAGTTAACTAAAGGCTATAAAAATAGTTTTACAAACGTAATTCTTGTAACAGACAGGTTTTGACGCACTCTGTGGTGCAGTCCTCACTTTTGCTCAGACTTTCGGTTTTCGTGACCTTGCACAAGACTACAGTGAGTCTATTCATTTTGGCCACAGTTATGTCATTTGGATCAGGAGCACTCATGTGAAGCAGGAAGGCGGCATACAGTGGTCTGTCCCGATGCCCCACTTTTCAAAAAATGTAATGTTTAAAAAGCAATCATTCAAGTTCACCAGAACATTAGATGCTTATGTGAGAATAACTGTAGATGTTTTTCTAGTGTTCCATATTTACTCAGTTATTATTTTTCCAGTGTCTGTCTGGAGTGCTCCAACATTTTCAAACATGTACATTCGACAGGCATTGTTGCAATACTGTAGGTGTGTCCTCACAGCTGCAGTAAATAGCTCCTGAATTACAGGAGCGGTTTCTCAATCTCCCTTTGTGAGGTTTCATTGCTGCTCTGTACAGATGTGGCAACTTTAGAAGTCTTGTTCGGTTCTCCAGTTGTTCTGCAGCACTGTGAGGGAGGCCCTGCTACATTTGTAGTAGCATTGATTATGTTTTTTTTTGTCATCTAGAATTTTGATTTAAATACTTATTGACTGTAAGGAGCAATTAGAAAAATACATTATGTGTTTCTGAGTGTTCAGTAAAAGTAGGCCCATTATAAATGTGTGCTATAGCAGAATGTGTGACATGTATGGAAAATTGGGAAACACAGAGAAAGGTAGAAATGTACACATCCAATGAGAAGATAGGTGGTAGAGTTTTTTATAGACTCAAGATACATTTTTCTAGTATTTGTGAATGAACACCTCAGTTTTCTGCAAAAACTAAGGTACTAAAGTACTTAAGATTTGTAGTATTATGGGCAATGCACACAGAGTCAAAACACCCACACCCATTGTTTTCTGTGTGGACCCAGCTCAGTGTTGGTGTCTTTTTGTGTCAATACGGGTTGATGTGCATCATCTCATCAGCACACACCGCTCTCCTATCTCCCAGCGTTGATGAGCATCAACTATGCAGAGAAGCAACTATTTTATCATATATGCTTGCTGTATTATGACACATTTCGGCTACTGTAACTTGACTGCTACTTCTGTCTATTTGACACATCCGGTGGGGGCCATGGCAATAAATCATGTGACGCTGACAGTAATGCAGCTGATGTGTGTTACTGAAAGCTTTCAAAACAACAGATTTTTTTAAAATTCTTGTTATTTGTTTGTTTGTTGTGGATACAAGAGAGATCACAGGAAATGAGGAAGAGAGATGCAAAAAAAAAAAAAAAAGCTACCCGAATAGTTTCAAACGGGGCGTGTGGACGTTGCGGACCAACCCCCCAGAGTACATTTAAACTCCCGATATTTCAGTGTTTGCACTTATGAAGGATGCTAGAAGGTTAAAGATGGAGGTTGTTGTTGTTCACAGTGTGGACCACCTCTGACAGCATTCCTCACTTCAATTTAATTCACAGCAGAAAGCTCAGCTTGACACTGTGAACGTCCTCAGTCATTACGTCACTCGTCATGTTAGGGAAATACAAACATTCATACACATTTTACATACTGTATGAGAGCCCATTAAACTAAATTCATTTTTTAAAATTAAAAAATGTTTTTGGTATTCTGCTGTTCTGTATTGCTACTTCTTGGTAACGTTATGTATGAGTGCAGTAAACTGTTTCATTGCTTAATGAGAAATACCCAGGATGTGTCTCATATAGCTATGTAGCATGTAGCAATATTGCGTATTATTACACTTAATTGCAGCTGTAACTTTCATCTGTGAGAGTGTGAAAAGTATGTTGAAATTTCCTGTTGTTTCAGGAGACCAAGTGGTACGATGAGACGACCGTACAGTTGATGGCTCCCACCATGCTTCCTGAGCTGCACCTTCTCAAACGGGTAAAGTCTGAGAGCAACATTTCACAGCTTCTGGACCTTATAGTTCAGTGGAAACTAGAGTAGTTCAGTATTGCTCCGTCTCTGCTAAGGATTAGCTAATTGATAAATATTTTACCATAAAATAAATAGAGCACGTTCTGATTTTGCCTTATTTTTGTTTATTTGTTGCAGGTAAAGGTGAAAGGGCCACGATACTGGGAACTGTCTGTAGACCTCAGCAAAGAAACGCAGCATCTAAAGTTAGTATTGAGCGAATGACAGTAAACGTCATTTGTTAAATTCTTAAACAGAAGTTTTAAAGGCAATCATTTAATGAAACCACGTGTGCCACAGATGGATTAGTGGAATCCAGGTGGAAGCTCCAATCTCATGCATTGATTTGGTTGACTTAAAGGAAAATGTCTCTATATATTTCCCTCAGGTCCATCCTGTCCAGAGATGGGGTGTTGTATGTAAAACTACGGGCTGGCCAGCTGCCCTACAAAGATGACCCTCAAGGCTGGAAGAGCTTGCTCGCCTCCGCCGTCAACCACCGCAACTCTGGAGTCAGGGCCTTCAAGGTAAACACGTGTCACACATACCCAATAACACCAACATCCATCATTTCAAGTCCTTTTCGTTTCTGTAGAGCTGAGTGAGCTGGTGGCCAGCTACATACAGACTGAACACTTTGAAATCTATTAATCTATTAATCTAATATATTTGTTTATATGCAGGCTGTGTTGCTACAAAGACCCAAAGGAAGTAAAAAATACTGTGTGTGTTGAGTGGGGAAGGTCTCATGGCTGATTGTTGTATAATAATAATAACACAGGCATTGAGATTTGTTTTTGTTATTATGTCCAGCTAGAAATGTCCTTACATGTTAACAATATAGACCCCAATTGTAATGTATTTTGCCTTCAATCTAATTTCCTTTAATAACTCTATTTGAAATAGAGCAACACATTTAAAGAAAAAAAGCCTAAAAATAGTGGAATTGAATCGACCACCTCCCCAGTGGCTGGTTGTGTCCAGTCTTGGCAGGTTGTCACTACAGGTTCATAAGGCAGCTGTGTGAATGACAGACTATTACTGGTTCCCTGATGGCCTCAGTGTATGCCGTCAATACACCTGCAGGTCCCGAAGAGGAGGAAGGGGGGCTCAAAACACAAATTATTTATTCCACTTGTCCTCACTGTCCTTCCTCCCCCCTCATCTTTTTCTTCTTAAGCATCCATCTTTCCTGCTGCTTTCTCCTTGTACCTTTTTCTTCCATTCATCTCTCTGACCCTCTTCTGCATCTTTTGTATCCCTTCTTGTTTCTGTATATGTCCTTTGTGTTGGTTCATATAAATAAGTTTACAATTGAATCGTGTGTTTCTGCAGCCTGAAGCCATCTCTACATTCACGTCAGAGCCTGCCTTGGTCTCCTTTGCAGAGTTCTTCTGTAAAACATCTGAAGGAATGAAACACGTGAGTTTTACACACATATAGATGCAGGTGCATTCTAAAGCCAGCAATTTGGATCCTTAATTGCATGCCTTTGTATCCATTTGACTATCCTGAAAGAGCCTGCAAACCTGGGGAAATTGTTCCAGAGTTAGTACTTCTAATGTAGTTTCAAATAATTACAATTAAGTAATTTGAGTAATTTGAGGTATATTGTTTATTTTAGTGAAGTGTAATTTAAATTGTATTATTATTGTATCATTAAGATCATTATTAAACAACATTTTAATCAAGTGTCAGGTCAGATTTGTCAGACATTCCATGTTTTTACTCTCCAACCTCAACAGGCTAATAGCAAGCTAATGTTAGCTTTGTCTGTTGGTTTAGTTACATAACATTTACACCTGGATTAGTTGGTATAAATATTTATTCACAACTAATCTTATGTAAAAACTAGTTTCTGTGATGCAGCTTGTTTTAATTTAGTGATGTGTTAGTCTCCACTTAGTAAACACATTTTAAGGTTAAAAACTAATGAACTTATTATCTTATTCTGAGTTTGACAGGGAAACATTTATTTTTAATTTTGATAAATAAGGGGATTTTACTATGTAGTCACATTCATTGTATTCATTTTGTGTGTGGTGGTGAAAACAAAACCGTTCTCCCCATAACATTTATAAACCAGGAAAGAATAAAGTTTTTAGCTCTGACTTTAATAATGTAATGTTTTATCAGAGCCATGGTGGAAGTTGAGCACTAATTAAATAGCACTTTGCTCAACATTAGTTTTGAGTTAGTGTGTGGTTAATCTGGCTTTCACTGCAGAAACTTTCCGCTCTGTAGAAACTGAGCTCCAAACCCTTTCCTCCCAGCTAGCTCAAACACACCCAGACATATTTCCTGTCCTCATATCTCAAATTCATGAAAAATTACATTTTTTAATATTAAATTTAGAGAAAAGTTAGAAAGTTCCTGGCACAAACAACACAGAAGAGGAGTTGGTATGCCTTATCTGTCTTGGTTAAAATCATCATATACCACAGGAATAATACTCAAGCTTCTTTTCTTTTTCCGGAAAAATGCATTTTACTAAATGTCAAGGCTAATTAAAAAAATCAATGTATACGATAATTGCGACGTTATCTTACGGAGATCCAAATGATTTCACAAACGACACCATCTGTCAGTGGAGATAAAACATGATGTATTAACCTCACTTCCTGTCTGTGTTTATGTAATGAATTATATTAAATGAACTGACACCTTGAAACATGTTTCTGGAATAGCTAACAAGTTTCCAAGGTTCAGTGTCTGTGGTCTTGATAGAGATCTCGTGAGAAAGACAGTCAACCATGACTTTGACTCAAAAGGCCAAAAACGGATTTGAAAACAAGATTAATGAGAATAATTATTTGATGTGCAGCTGCCTTACATCCCTTGGGGAAAAAATGGTTTAAGATCTCAACTCTGATATTTGAAATTTTCATTTTGGCCAATAATATGGATTTAAACACAGGATCTCTCGGCCTCTGCTGCAACGACATTAATGATTCTTTAAAAAAATCTGTGTATTACTTTATAACTGCAGTGCCACTTTAAAGGTCCACTGTGTAACATTTAGGAGGCTCTTTTAGCACAAATGGAATATAATATTCATAGGTAAGTTTTCATTAGTGTATCATCATCTGAAAATAAGAATTGCTATTTTTTCTTTACCTTAGAATTAGCCATTTTTACAGACAGAGTGAGCAGCTCCTCTTCCACTGAGGCCGCCATGTTAAACCACCATGTTGCAAACCAAACACTGGCTCTGGATAGGGCCTTTTAGTGTTTTTTGCGAGTTCCGCTGACCGCTGTAGTTTCTCCTACACACTTGAAGCTGAGCTGTATTCAAACAGTTCATGCTACTACTGCTTCATGAGGACTGTGTGGGCGTTCTTTGATCAGATTTGATTTTACAGCGGCCTAATAACACAACAACCCAGCGTCATCAGATTTTTATTAAAATTGCAAAATCCTGATTGGTGGAGAGGGTGGTGTGATATCATAATCTTTTTCCAACGGAGCCCTGCCCATTTCTGAGAAGTGCAAAGAAAAAAACACAAATACAGAAATTACTCATGTGGTTTATCGAAAACAGAAACTTTTGCGTTCATGTAGGATCCAATTGCTATTAGTAGAAAACTGACTGACAAAATAGGTTTTACTTAACGTTTCTGTGCTGCAACCTGGACGATTTTTTCAGCTTTAAACACAAGGCAGCTTTAAATGTATAGCACATGTCATACACACTCAATCTGCTCATTAACTGCCTGATTCCTATTTTCTGAGTAAAGAGGCTGCTTCATCAAAGCTTCAGGTTAATTAGATGGAGGTCACTGGTTTCAGCGCAGTAAAATGGAAGAAAAATTGTCATTGTGTAGCGTAACATTCGGTAATTGAATTTAACGACATGGCAATTTTGGGTCCTTCAATTTAATTTACAAGACATTCTAAGTCACTTGAAAGTTATTAAATTTGTGTCTAGGAAGATTGTTTAGAAAAAGCACAAGCTTAAATGCACTTGCTGTTATATAAAGACGGTTACGCTTAAATGCCAGAAACTACATGAAACAAAGGCAAATTTACCGTGTGTTCGAATACTCCTTCACTCTCACTGTCTGTGTTATGTTTGCAGAGAGAGGATACTCTGGTGTTGTTTTCGGCGATGCTGTATGAATGTGTGACACAGGAATTTCCTGAGATGCTGCCCACATATATTGCTATTGAGCAGGTGACACACAAACACACACACACACACACAAACATGTGCACTGTTATCTGCTGATGCTGTTGAATTGTATTGGTCTTCCTGACTCTTACTTGTCACTGTTTATTACATTAACAAGCAACAATAATGAAGATAGGTTGCTATAGTGGTTTAATACAGAACTGCTCATACTTACTTTCACTAAGAAAAATACAGGTATTTTGGAATTATACTTCTGCAGAGATGCATGTAAGTATATAGAGACGGGTAACTGTGTGTTGCAGAGGAGCCCACACATCTCCCAAATCTCAACAATGTGTAGTCTGGGCGCCTTGGTAGCTCACCTGGTAGAGCTGGCACCCTGTGTATCAAGGCTGAGTTCTTGCTGCTGCAGCCATCGGTTTGAGTGTGACCTGAGGCCCTTGGTCCCCCTTTCCTGTCTCTCTTGAGCTGTCCTGTCCTATATAAGTAAAAAGAAAAAAAGTTAAAATAAATAAATTAAATAAGCAAGCGTATTGGTTTATCCAACATCTTGTCAGGAAGCGTTCGGGTTTAGTTACATTACATCATATTGTCATACTGTCACTACTGCCACAAGTGATTTTCCAGCAGAGCACAGGCATATTCCTCCTTAAGGCACGTAATGTCCACTTACGTTGATAAATCCACATTTTGTTTTTTCACGGGCGTAGTCATTTGTCTGCCACCGGGATGAAATTGTTTTCTGTTTGCTCTTTCTGTATTTCTTCTACATTTTCTTTACATTGTGGTTTACTAAATGTGACACTGTTTCTTAGTAGACACATATGTTATACCCCCAATCCCTACATGTATAAAAAATATGTACATGTACCTTCTCTTACATGCAGCCCACAGAAACATAATCCTATCTTACCATACTCACCAACACACTGAACAACAAACCACAGAAATTAAGGTAATAACCATTAATATCTAATCCATTTTCCAAAGTTGGATACCCAAAAGCAAAAAAAAAAGGTAGGGCACACACAGATTTCCGGGATAAAACTGACTCATTTATGGATTTGGGCCTTGTAAAACAAACATGCTAACATTTTGGCCTAGTGACCTTCATCAGAGCATGTTATATGAGTTTGGTGCAGCACCATAAACAAAATACTGGGAAGGCACATTCTTACAAAGATCTAACTAATCAAGACTGACTATCAAACGTAATGTATATCTGTTTGTAATGTTTTGAAATATCCAGTGACAACTACACTTACAGATGAAAACCTAACGTCACTGAGATAACACTTCATTTTGCCCACGTGAAGGTATGTTAACCCTTGTTGTCTCCCGTGTCTCTCAGGCGGTGAGTGCTCTGCGTCGGGGTGACCTGCTGCAGACCTTCCCCCTGTGGCAGATGCGTCTGGTGGTGGAGCTATGGGACAGCAGGGTGCTGCGAGGCCCCGCTTACAGCGACGACGCCCTGCTCACCTCTGAGTTTCTGCCCGTCATGAAAAACATGGTGGATGTAGCACTCGACAGCTGGCTCAAAGGTGAGAGGAGTGATGACGTGGAGTTGTGTTAGTGAATACGGATGAAGGCAGATCAGTTTGGATAGATGCAGGTATGTTTTAATCTACAGAGGGAGTGAGTCCTCTATGGACTTATTTCTTTCAGTAGCCCAGAACGAACAAACCAAACACTGGCTTTAGATAGAACCTTGTGGCCACTGTAGTTTCTCCTACACGCTTGGAATGGGACGGTGATGTGAGGGCTTCGCAATCCACAACTACACTGCTATATGCCACTTAATCCCACACCCACTGGACTGCATATTTTGGCTCTGTTTAACAGCAGTGTCACTGGTTCAGTATGTCACATGTTGGATGTGTTTCAGCCTGTTTTCCTGTACAGGGTGTAGCACAATTATGTCAGGACAGACTGTATAAACTCAAACAAACACACATTCCATCACTGACACAAACACAGACACACACACACACACACAGACACACACTTACAGTAATACATGTGCACTAAGAGGCGTGGGAAATAGGTGTAGTGGTTGGACGAGGCTGTGATCATGTAAACAATCCTAACATGCCTTCACTTTCATGTTTCATGAAGCCTCTTGGCTCTGGCAGATGTTACAAAGGAAAACCAAACTAACTTGACCTCAAGCATCAGGAATGTTGCTGTTCTCTGGAACTTACCCATGAATAAAATATGTGTCTAGAGCTATCCTTGTTGTTTTTTTTCATTTTAGTTTCCACTTCTCAACTCTCAGTAGCATTAGTCTTTCTCAGAAGTCAGTGCTATAGTGAATTTGGACATAGAGGACACTGTTATATGTGTGTAACATTGTTCTTACCCTAAAAATGTTGTTCTGTGAGGTTTGCTTTTAAAAGTGTCCCAAGTCAAATTCAGCCAACTCTCTCAAACTTGTCGTAAATTGTAAGTATCTTTCTGATAAAAACCACCTGTTAATGATCAAATGTCCATGAGAATTTATCATTAGCATAATCAACATCCCTAAAATTGCCATAAAAAGCTGCAGTTTCCGCTCCGTGTGTGGGCAGGGTTGATTCACAAAAATGTTCCTTGACAATAAAAAGGAAGACTTTCACAGTGCAAAGCCTCTAGTTCTGCTTTTGGAAATCGGCAGACAAAAACAGGTGTAGCCGTGTGAGAAGTGGTGTTAAAGGACACAGCAATTAGAAAATATTACTAATGGGCTACACCTGCCAATGGAGTGCCATCAAAGCAGAGCTGTACTGTGACAGAAATAAAACGGTGGTTTGACATGACGGAGATATTAGACGAGGGAATATTACACTAAAAAGTGACAATGATGATATAGTGAACAGAGTATTAACTTTGCATTAAAGGACCAGTGTGTAAGA